GTAGAGATGACGTCTCGCCAAGTTGCCCAGGCGGGTCTCGAACCCGCGGGCTCAGGCAATTCACTCACCTCGGCCTCCCAAAGTGCTGGTATTGCCTGCTGAGCCACCGAGCCCGGGCTTTTTAATTTATTTTAAATAAAGTTTCTTAGAGAAAGAAGGGAGAAAAGAAAGGGTGATATGCCATACTTGGCATGGGCGAAAGAAACTGCCTGGTTTGGCTCTTGAAGACCCTTCTTCAGTGTAAGTTTAAGTTTTGGGAACTATGCCTCCCAGTGTGTTTTGAACTCAAAGCATGCTGAGTGCTAGGTACAGGTGAGAAGGGAAGGTAGAATATCTGGGGGAGCAGACGTTGGGGGGTGCAGTCGGTGTTTCTCTGGAGTACTACAATGACTGAGATCATATAACTTCTCCACTAACGGGCTCGGTGGCTTAGCCTGTAATTCCGCGCCTTTGGGAGGCCGAGGTGGGTGGATTGCCTGAGCCCGCAGGTTCGAGACCCGCCTGGGAAGCGAGACCTCATCGCTACAATAAATCAAAAAATCAGCCGGGCGTGGGAGCGCATGCCTGTAATTCCGGCTACTCGGAAGTCTGAGGAGGAAGGATCGCCGGAGCCCAGCAGGTTGAGGCTGCGGTGGCCGGGAGCGGCCCCTGCACTCCAGTCTGGGCGACAGAGTGAGACTCCAACTCAAAAAAAAAGAAAAAAAAAGAAAAAAAAGAAAGGGATGGAGTCTCCAAGGGGCAGAGCAGGAAGGAAATGGCTGTGTTATTGGGGATAAGAGGGTAAACTATAAATATAAACAGCCTCTCATGGAGTCATTTTTTTAGTTTTATCATATCATTCATTTTTTTCCTTTTTTAACCTCATCATATCTTCTAGGATGATGATGATAATGATGATGATTTTATTTATTGTAGAGACAAGGCCTCACCAAGTTGCGGGCTGGCCTTCAACCCATGGGTTCAGGCAATCCACTCGCCTTCAGCCTTCCAAAGTGCTGGGATTTCAGGCTGAGCCACCAAACCTGGCCACTTCTTCTAGGATTATTGATTGACTGAGTCAGGGTCTCACTCTGTCACTCAGGTTGGAGGGCAGCGGCATGCTCACTGCTCACCACAGCCTTGACCCGCTGGGCTCAGGCAATCCTCCTACCTCAGCCTCCTGAGTAGCTGGGACTACAGGCACGCACCACCACACTGGCTAATTTTTTGATTTATTGTAGAGATGAGGTCTTGCCAAGTTGCCCAGGCTGGTCTCGAACCCCTAGGCTCAGGCAATCCTCCCACCCTGGCCTTCCTAAGTGCTGGGACGACAGGCGTGAGCCACCGCACCCAGCATCCTGTGTTTTTTGTGACCATTATAGACAACTGAAAAGTATTCACTTTCCAATGACTCAATCATATATATCCTTTTAGATTCAAGGGGTACCTATGCAGAGTTGGTACACGGGAGTGTTGTGTGATGGCGAGGTTTGGGCTTCTGTTAAACCCATCACCCACATAGTGAGCCTGGTGCCTGACAGGTGGCTTTTCAGCCCTTGTCCTGCCCCAGTGTCAAGTCCCTCCTTGTGCCAGTGTGTATTCAAGGTTTAGTCTCCGCTTGTTTTTGAGTTGGAGTCCTCCTGCATCGCCCAGGCTGGCAAGCAGTGGCACGTTCACAGCCACGATAGCCTCGACCTGTCAGGCTCAGGGGATCCATCTGCCTCAGCCTTCCAAGTAGCTGGAACTACAGGCATGCAGCACCACGCCCGGCTAATTTTTTGATTTATTGTACAGACGAGGTCTCACCAAATTGCCCAGGTTGGTCTTGAACCCGTGGATTCAGGCAATCCTCTCACCTCTGCCTCCCACAAGCTGGGATTACAGACTTAAGCCACTGTGCCCGGCCTAGCCCCTACTTTAAAGTGAGGACACGTGACATTGGTTTTCTGTCTCTGTTAGTTTGCTTAGAACGATGGTCTCCAGTTGCATCCATGTTGCCGCAAAGGTCATGACTTCATTCTTCTTCATGGCTGCGTGGTATTCCATGTGTATGTGAACCACATTGTCTTTATCCAGTCCACTGTAGAGGGAGGGCTAGGTCACTCCATGTTTTTGCTGTTGCGACTCGTGCAGTGATAAACCTATGAGTGCAGGTGTCTATTATCTGATGAATTTTGGGGTCCAGTATATCCCATTAGTATGAGGGTTTTGTTGTATGTGTTACATATACAATAAAATAAAATGCAGCCAGGCTGGGGGCTCACACTTGTCATCCCAGCACTTTGGGAGGCTGAGGCAAGAGGATTGCCTGAGCTCAGGGCTTTTTTTTTTTTTTTTTTTTTTTTTTTTTAGTTGGAGTCTCAGTCTGTCACTCTG